AGAGCAGATATAAAAATTCACAAAACCGCAAATTTCTCAATCACACTGACTGACAGGCATTATTCAACGTTTCTAGCTGTGTAACAGACTTACTATAGTTATAAGTACGCCAAATAGAACAATAACACAGGGACCACGTGCTAGTACTAGCGTGAAGTAGTTATTAAATTGATTAACTAATTTATCAACCCTAAGTATATGCACACAACCACAACTCACACTACATCACCCAAATGACATTGCACATTGTAGAGTGGCATCAAATGTACAGCACACATGCACACTCACAATGTGTACACACGCGATAAGTGAAGAGAATGCACATCACACACGCATAAACCATTATTTGCACATACCATAATATTATGGTGCACACCCACACTGATGATATACATAAAGGATATCAACAGAAATGAATGAATGTTGCATAAGATCGTGACATCTTGTACGAAAATAGTGCATGAACAAGTGGGAAAAATATTTAAAAATGGAAATGTAAGAATGGGTGCACTAAAAAGTGAGGAAACAAGGTAGGAATGAACATGGTGTAATAAAACGTGCTCTCTACAACCTCCGGTCCATGCCTGTTTCGTTTTTCTGCGTTCCTGATACTATACAACTTATGAGTACATACAAAAATGTGTCAGTGATTATTTTACTTTCATATAGACAGTAACGAATCCATGACGTATTTACGCAGAAACTTCTTGGGATGTTTTTATTTTTGTGTTTTAATCACCTATATAGCTAGTGTACGAAATCCTGTTGCCTTGTCATGCAATTGCATAAGGATGGACAAGTTGTAAATAAACAAAACATACAAGTTATGGATCCAACGGATATCTGATTCTTCTGGTGTTGTATAAACAGACTTTACAGTACATGTATTACCTTCAATAATTCGATTCACAGAAACCTCTAGCCATTGTATGATAAGCATAACTAACTCTGATAAGTTTAGCCCACCTGGCTTATTGTATACAGGATAGAAAAAATAAACGAGGTGTGCATGGACAGGATGTTGGGCACGCCCCCTTGTAAGGTTGTGCAGAGGAAGTTTTATTACATAATGCCAATTCCTACCTTTTTTTCTCACTTTTTTTGGTGCACCCATTCCTACACTTTTAATTTTTTAAACATCTTTTTCACTTGTAATATTGGTGATTCAGCTTACCTTCAGATGGGCCCGGCATAGCCATGTGGTTAAGACGCTCGACTCGCAATCTGCGTCCCACCAAACATGCTCGCCCTTTCAGCCGTGGGGGCGTTATATTGTGACGGTCAATCCAACTATTCGTTGGTAAAAGAATAGCCCAAGAGTTGGTGGTGATGACTAGCTGCCTTCCCTCTAGTCTTACACTGCTAAATTAGGACGGCTAGCGCAGATAGCTCTAGTGTAGCTTTGCGCGAAATTCAAAACAAACAAACAATATCGCCAGATTTATCAATGTATAGCGAAATGGCTTTCACTTTTCTGAACTGTTATGCACGAACTTTGCTTGTGGGTTCATGACTTTGTTTCTTACTGGGTTCCTAATGATGTATGAATCACACAAAAATAAAACAAAAATACCACCAATATTTCAATTAATGCCACTAATTACTGCTGGGGTGCCTTATGTATTTTTTCATAGAAAACGAGTGATTTCATCTCTTCTTTTTTTTTTGTCAGTTCTTTGCACTGAGTGTTGTAACAGGATAAATATACAATTATTGAATATGATGTGAGATGTAGACCACAGAGGCTTCGCTGGGCGCTGGCCCACGGGGCACGTGCCCCGAATCCCCAGTTGGTGTTTTGCAAAATCAGAATAGAAAACCATGATCGATATCGTACTGAAACGCCGAAAATTTCCGCGCCTATGGGCCCTAGCCCCGGAGCTTTTAAGCACCTAGCGACACCTCTGGTGGACCTCATTGCTAATGAATGGTATTAAAACAAGTCGATAGTTTGAGGGTTCAGAGTTCATGCCCAAAAAAACCGGTACAGGTTAAATATACGAAACTCAATTTGACCTTATCTTCTTCTTCTTTCTTTTTTTTTTCTTTTTTTTTTACGAATACACTTTCAGATCGTTGTATAGGCTAGGTTACTGATAACACACCATTAGGTTAGCAGTTGTTTTTACCGGCATGTGTTATCATGGTTTGATGTGTAGCTATACATTAGTTGTATGTCGTACATAAATATTTCGTACCGAGGTCTTTACAAAAAAAAGGAAAACTTAGTTCCTAATTAAATCAATTTCTAAATTTACGCTGTAGGTTTTAATACTCTTGGTGTGTTATACCTTACATAATTAAACACCACTTTTTGAACGAACAAGAATTCGATAAAGAGGGTTTCACGTGTTTGTAAGTGACATCTTCGTTATTGAACAAAAATATTAAAAGCACAAATTTGTGTTTAACTGACAGAAAACTACTAAACTGTAATGATTAGATAGTAACTGATAATATATAGCGTTCATGAAAGTGTAGAAGCAGTTTTATACATGCAAACTTAATGTTTTAACAGATTGAAAGTACATAATATTTCAGTTACACGTAAAACATTTATGAAAATAAATATCTTTTTTTTCAAACGTGTATACGAATTTAATTATTTCAAATTATTACGGCCTGTGTAAAAGAAATAAATGTTTGTGCTTCAGTACTTGCTATTTAAAGTAGTTGTATACATTAATACATGAGTTTTTGTTTATATAAAATTTATACCTACGTATTTCAAACATGGGTTCATACGGTAATAAATATATATAGGTACAATTCTTATGCTTACTTAAATATGTTGAATTTTCATGTTTGATTGGGATGCCGAATTCGACCAATAATGTATAAGTAAAACAGATCACTTACTAAACTCAAGAAATATTTTGTAAATAAGCATTCACATAGCAATTGAGGACTGTAGTTACCCAAGAGAGGTGATGACAGTAGGGTAGGGAAACAGAAGAGGAACAGTCCATACCATAAAATTATTTTTGACATGAGACATGTATGTATCGATTATGCGATAACGATACTGTATAGAATATGTTTGATACGCGGCAATTTTCATTGATTCTTCATAAAGACTTATTTAACTCTATAGTTACACAAGTGATGTCTGTATTATGTTGTTGATCATCAATAATTTAGTAATAACAATCGTAATTATACTCATTAACCCCGCTGCTTACTTTATATATTCTGAACAGCTGACTTACTGACGTGTTGAGCTGTGCAGCACAAAATGTAGTTATACTTCCAACAAGTGATATAAGACCACTGAGTTGCGACTTCTCTCTCTCTCTTTCTGTATATATATATATATATAAACAATGCTTGCGGGCTGTGTGTGTTTAAAACTTAGATCGCTCCAATCTAATTTGGAAGAGGCCCCAAATGGAAACTAACATTTACCCAAATGTTTATGTATAGGAATATCAAACAGCTAACAGAACTGTGGCTGTTCTAAACTTCATTAACATTGTCAGTAAGCCTCAGTACTTTGCTTCAGGATGTGGTTAATATGCACATCAGCCAGTTTCTGGTAGAGACAGCAAAACTAAATATCACCAGTTTATAGAAGTCTTACATCAGCATGTTATCGATAGCACTAATTACTTGTGGCTAGAGTTTAAAATAGCGCTAAAACCTGAGTAAGACTTAGTTGTCTAAATTAACGTTTTAAATCTGCAATTATTTTAACCCAGGAAGTCCCTTAAGTACTTACGTTCGGAATCCTCCTAAAACTACATATCTTTATACGTGTCAAAAATAGCAATTTTGAAAAGTTATTACAAGGAAATGCATAATAAAAAAGAATCAAAGTACAGGTTTGTAATGAACTTTATCACAGCTCATGGCATTTTTAACCACTTCTGTACGTGAGTGTCACTAATTTTGTGAGTTATATGTGATAACGTTGAGTCTGTTAATTTTGGTATTCTTCTTTTACGTGCATTTATTTAACTTGGGTGTATCATTCATTTTTTAAAAAAATCGTGAAACTAGGATTGGTGGATAGATCTACTTCATAGGAGAGTAAAGAAATTACAATTTGCAAAGGACACTTAATTTACTGTAGTAGTTCATGGTACCTTCATTTGCTACCTTTCACTGCTCAGTCACGTCGGATCTATTTTGTCTTTGTAATGTATTTTAACATATGCATTGTGAATGCGAAAGTTTTATCTTTATTATATTATATAATATAATCAGTTGAATTGGTGCAGTTTTATCACAAATTTCTGTTGAGTTATATATAATATAATAAAAATAAAACTTTCGCATTTATGTATGACTGACATATATCGTTATCCAAACCATACTAAAATAGACCTCAACTTAATAGTTAGAGTGATTTGTTGTTGTGGTGTTGTAATTAATTTTATAGAAAAATAATTTTATTTTTTCTTCAAAATTACCAAATGCTTATAAATATCCAGGATTGTTGGTCTCTCTCAAAACGAATTCTGATCATCTTCCGGGTGTTTGTACAAAACTTTCTTTGTTTTCTTTTTATGAACTCCATTTATCTTATCTTTTGTTTCTTTGTCTAATTTGATCAAGCGTGATATAGAAACCTAAGAGCACGATCACTGGGATTGAAGAATAATATTTTAGTTCTTGTAGGTCGCACCTCCGCACAAGGTTCCTTAATGTACGCTCTCACACCTTTAGCGTGCCTAATCTGTCTCTCTATTAGGTTTAAAAGTGTGCATAGATTATGTAGCCAAGTAAGTTGGAACAATTGGCAAAAAAATACTTTGAAACTGAAGTACCAGTTTGCTTATCTTCTGATCAAGCTTTTAAAGTCGACTTACCAAGACCACCCATTTAGAATCACAAATAACATTTGTCAAACCTTGGTTGTTCAGAGTGTGTACCTAGCTCTTGGCTGGAAGAAATGATTAATTGTGCCACTGAGGAGTTCTTGATGGTGCTGTTACGCTTCGATTGAGAAAGTCGGGTTGGCTGGTTTCAGTGATGTGTCTTTTTCTCCCCTTTTGTAGGCTGTCACAGCGTCAAAGACTGTGGAAGAAGTCGGCTACTGGAGCAGTGGAAACGTGCCAAGCGATAGCCAAGCAGTTAGCGTTTGGAGGCAAGATCGTTTTCGTGAACCAAATAGATTCGTGAAATCGAGGTGTTATTGATAAAGTACCGATAGTGAGTAGACTTCGCTTTAGAATATGATTGGAGCTGTATTCTTTATTTAACTATAAAGATATATCATATATTTATCCGAGATACTCGTGGAGTATAGCTATTAATTGTTATTATTATTTGTAAAAAAAATACGACTTCATTATTTAACAGTCGCAAATGATAAGGTTTCAATGAAACAATTAAAGTAGCTTTTTTTTTCTTTTTCTTTACAAGTACTTGTTAATATAACATTTGGTTGTTGTATTTGATGCACTTAGAACATTCGCGTAGAGTTACACAAATGGCTGTCTTTTACATAGCTGTCCCTAATTTTGAATTGATAGACGAGAAGGAATGCAACTAGTCAACAGCACCTACCGCCAGCTAATGGTCTACTCATATCTGACTATTTTAGAGCACCCATGACACCATTGTACGAAGTGCGTTTGTGCGCCAAAGGAACGCAAGCCATGGACTTTTAGATTCACAGTCCGGGCACTTTAACCGTTAGGCCACCCAACCCGATATAGAATTTTACTAGGATATATATTTTCCTGGTGTTCTTAGTTTCTCGCAATGAGTATACGAACATACCACAAAGCCTTCACTATCATATTCCAACAAATATTAGCCTGTCCTTTAAGGAATAATAGGTGCATAGTTCATTTTATCAAAACTCCTGTACGTTAATTCATTCTCTCCTACAACTAATTATCCAGTTTAGTGCCCATAAGCTTATTTGCTCATACTGTTCACGTCCCTAGTAGTTCAATACGTCTTAGCTTATTCTCTTCGACGTCACAGGTCCTCAGTTCAAAATATTTCAACTCATTAGTTTGCATATCACAGGTCTCCAAGTCAAGATTATTAGCTCATTCCCGGTGTAGCATAAGGTCACTAGTTAAATATGTGTTAAGCTGAGAATTTATGAGCGAAAGCAGAGTATGTTCATTCTCACAGACAGCACAGGCTTCCAGTCCAGTGTGTTAGCTCATTCTCTCAGACTGCACGTGTGTTAGTTTATGCCCTTAGTACTGGTATCCATTTCATTATACACGTTACTTTCTTCTTTCAAACACCGTGTATCAATTTGTATTATATATATATATGTGTGTGTGTGTGTCCATCGTTGATAGTGCTCCATCTGACGGTTTGACGATTAAACGCTATTGCCCGACGTTGCAGTTTCCAGTGTAACGAAGGACGGGATTCATTCTTATGCTACTCATTTTGCAAGGCTCCATTTAAGTAGACCAAAGGTACAAAAAATCCCATTGGAGCTACATCGGGGGCTTAACGGGTCGAATGGAATAGCTGTGATTCCAATTTCTTGCTACCTGGTCTTCCGGTAAATTTAGGGTATTACAACGCTAAAATCCAAGGTTCAAATCACGTGTTGGACACAGCAGATAGCCCAATGTGGCTATGCTGTAAAACAAACAAGCAAACTTTTTCCACGTGGCTCCTGAATTCATATAATGTTTGAAAGCTCGATATTTTGTGAGGTGTGAGCCTTGTAAGTTTAGAATATTTGCTTATTATCCTCTTAATAGTACCAGGAGATGTTTCCAGCTTCATCACAGTTTCGTTGTTGGATCGAAGGGTTCTTTTTCGTCAGCATAGTCTTAACTTTGCTGATATGGTCGTTGCTCCTGATTGGCTTAGGGTATGGTTGCGGAAAAGGTTGCTACTCTAAGTAATCTGCTGTACAAGTTTCCTGCTTCCACAGAGAAGATTGGTGACTCTCGTCTTCGAAATGTTGTGCTCTTTGGCTCTATTTCGTTTAAAAATCTTGGAAAGGGCTGCGACATACTCCTCCAGCTATAGGTCTATCCGTAATTGCATTAAATCTAAAACTATTGGAAATGTGTTCCGAACTAAATATATAAGTTCTGAACAAGTTGCCTGTGGCACGATGGCTTGTATCTGAAAACGACACGAAACTGCATTATCATATTAAACTAATCCACGTAGAGTGCCCTTAACTATTTGTATTCTAGTTAATTCTTTTAATCACAACATTTGTTAGCTCATACTTAAGATAGATCTGTAGGTTTTTACTTCATTCATCTAAAAAGTACGTACGTACTGTTGTAAGTTTGTTTATGGGTAGTATGGAGTAACCTAATTTTTGGAAGTATACCATTGACCTTCAAAAAAATTACAGGTCAATATTAGGCTATCAGTATTGGATGAGCCGGACGTGTCCTAGTTTCTAGAGTGCCCGAACCGTAAATTTGACGCAAAAACGCGCTCCGCATTTAGGTGTCTTGGGTGGGTACGTTGTAAGAGTAACGGCCAAATCACACTATTTGCTCAGACCGGATCTGCTCAAGAGATGACTAGCTTCCTTCCCTCTAGCCCTTTGTGTAGCTTTGCAAGAAAATTCTGAAATAGTAACGAGTAGGGGGGGGGGTGTACTTTACATAAGGCCGTGTTTTCATATCAAGAATGGCACTCAAGACAAGATTTAGAAAACACTGACTTATGAGAAGAACTGGAATATATCGTCATGCGTTATCCGTTAAATGTTTTGCAGATTTAGCTAGAAACAGTACCCTACCTTATTCAGATTTTATGAAGATATTTCAGAATATATTCACGGTTATTAAATTATTCATATCAAAATTGTTCTCACATGACATGTATTTATGTCTTTATTTATTTGTTACTATCATTATTTTTTGTAGAAAGATAAACTTCGATTAAGTTGAAAACTTGGAAATTCCGCTTCAAGGATAGATAATATTTTAATTCTAGTGCAGAATTCACCATAAATTTTCAATACATTTTAAAGCTATGGTTGTGTTATCGATATATATGTGTTCTAGACTAGCTGCCGGTATTTCCTGGGTTTCTGAACTCTCTTGTTAAAGTAAAATGTGTGGGAAAAAGAAATTCATGATTTCTTCGAGTCGTTCAGAGCTCTTCGTTGAGCTGTGGCTTTGTGTAAAGGGCTTCACAGACTTGACGCTTACCAGAGCAAGTCCGCTCTTTATTTGCTCTCGTCAGATGAGATTGTTGGTCCTTATCCATGAATTCTTATTTTTTCCTCTGAGGATTGACATTATGGTACATGAAGATAATGGTCTACCGGTTGGCCGTAAGATTCGTTCAATCATGAAGTTTTTTTAAGAACTTGGGTCTAGAAAGAAAAAAAATTACAAGGAAGAGAGACTGCCAAAAATGCAAACGTATTCTTTTATATAAATATGTATATATACTCCATCGGTGTGTTCCTTCTGAATTTTACGTTCTGCTGACAATATTGAATTTCAGTGAATTTGCTTAGAAGTAAAGTTAGGTATGAAATGAGTTGTTTTTGTTTCAGGCCTCGACCCGTTTCTCCCTTGCTTTATGTAAAGCCATTTTTTGTAGACATTAATTGGCTATCTAACCTACTAAGACGCACCAAAAAGAACCCCGATCGGCTTCTTACCTTAAAGGGTCGTTTGTTTGCTTTTCCTGTTTACTATTATTTTGGGTTCGTAGGGTACACAAATGTCATTTTACTTTCTGACCTAGGAATTTTAGTTGCAGTTACATATGCGGTATATCAGCTTACAAATAACATGCTCTTAGTTCCTACGGGGTTTCTCTGTTTTGGTGTTAACCAGAGGGTGAGAACCCCCCACCCCCTTGTCCCTCACCTCCTGTTTCTTGATACGGTTTTCTGAGTTTCAGATGAGACAGGATCTTCTTGGGAGGTCTTGATGTGGACATAACAACTGTGTAACAGTAAACGAGACGTGTCACCTTAACCCGCTGTGTCACGTTTCAGTTTGAAAACAAGACGTATGATATTATTATCCGTGAATTCGCCTCTGCTCTAGCTCCAGCTGTATGCTGACTTTGTATATTATTTTAATTCAATTCCTTGGATGGAGCTGTCTGTTGAAAGGAAGGTATCATGTTTTAGTTGATGATGTAATCACCCCCACCAACTACAAAAGTACAATTTTAACTTTCAGTAGTGAAATATAAACATAACTTACTATCACCAGTGAGTACATTTGCATTTACTACCTCTTCAGAAAATCAATATAAGAGGTAGTGAATAACTGTGATACATGATCTTATTTTACAGGCCCGGCATGGTCAGGTGATTAGGGAGCTCGACTCGCAATCTGCGGGTCGCGGGTTTGAATCCCCGTCATACCAAACATGCCCTTTCAGCCGTGGCGGGTGGTATAATGTGACGCCGAATCCCACTATTCGTTGGTAAAAGAGTAGTCCAAGAGTTGGCGGTGGGTGGTGATGACTAGCTGCCTTCCCTCTAGTCTTACACTGCTAAATTAGGGACGGCTAGCGCAGATTAGCCCTCGTGTAGCTTTGCGCGAAATTTAAAAAAAAAACTTATTTTACACGTGAGTGTCATGGTGCTCAACGCAAGCGTGATGTTGTAATGTCAAGACTTAGATAGTTTTTGTCTAATAGGCTCAAATATTTCTCCTAATGCATTCGTGTGGTATGTTAATGTCATTAGACTCGGAGAATTTTGCCTAGTATATTCATTGGATTTCCCTTTATGAAAATATTTTGTCTTATGGTGTGTACACATGATATTTATGATCAAAGCAATCTATTTAAATAGGTCAGAAGTCAAAACTAACTCGGTAAGTAATGTAGCTAATTTAATGTAGGAATATGTAATGTCATAAAAGAAAAACCTGTAATGATTAGAAAGTATTGAATCATTGTAGTTAGGCGCCTTGGCTCTTATCGGTAAGTTTATAAAGAAATGTGTAGCAATTGTGGGCAGACTCAATGGTCCAGCCTCTTCACATTCATTGTACATACGTTTCCTTGAAGTAAAACAGATAAAAAGCGATGGGAGAGTGTGATGTATTGCATGGTTTTAGTTGAATTGCTTGAATCTGGGAAGTTTCAAATACAATTTTCAAAGATTCCTGGCACCATCTTATCAGAAGTTTTGGGGTCGGTTCTTGAACACTTAAAGATGGAGAGTGTAACTGGTAAAGTGTGTGTACATTTTGCTGTATATTGATTGACAAAGAGCC